ATCATTCAAGAGTCCACAAACAATAAATGCTAGAGAGCGTATGGAGAAAAGGGAACCCTCCTACACTGTTGGTGGGAATGTAGTTTGGTGTAGCCGTTATGGAAAACAGTATGAAGATTCCTTAAAAGACTGAAAATAGACTTACCATTTGATCCAGCGGTCCCACTCCTGGGTATATATCCAGAGGAAACTCTAATTCGAAAAGATACACATACCCCATTGTTCATAGCAGCACTATTTACAATAGCCAAGACATGGAAACAACGTAAATGTCCATCAACAGATGACTGGATAAAGAAGTTGTCATATATTTATACTTATTTATAGTAGTGGAATACTACTCAGCCATAAAAGGAATAAAATAATGCTATTTGCAGCAACATGGATAGACCTGGAGAATGTCATTCTAAGTGAAGTAAGCCAGAAAGAGGACAAAAAACACCATACGATATCACTTATATGTGGAATCTAAAAAAAAAGACAAACTTATTTACAAAACAGAAACAGACTCACATCGAAAAAACTTATGATTACCAAGGGGGAAAGGGAGTAGGAAGGGATAAATTGAGAGTATGAGATTTGCAGATGCTAACTAATGTATATAAAATAGACAGACAACAAATTCATACAGTATAACACAGAGAACTATATTCAGTATCTTGTAACTTAGGGTGAAAAAGAATATGGAACTGAATATATGTATGTTCATGTATGACTGAAGCATTATGGAATACACCAGAAGTTGACACAACATTGTAAACTGACTATACTTCAATAAAAATACATATAGATACACACAAAAAAAGAGAAATAGAAAAAAATATTTTTGCCTTGTGATGGGAACTCTTAGGGTTTACTCTGTTAACAATTTTTATATATTAATGTACAGCATTGTTAATTATATTTATCATGTTGTATATTATATCCCTAGTACTTTAGAACTGCAAGTACTTTAGAACTGCAAGTCTTTAGACTGCCTTCATCCAGTCTCTTCTCCCCTCCACCCCACTGCCTCTGGTAACCACAAATCTGATCTCATTTTCTATTAATTTGTTTTGAAATACGGTAGGCCTATGTTAGTTTCTGGTACACAACATAATGATTCAATATTTCTGTACGCTTCAAAATGATCACCATGATAAGTCTAATTGTCATCTGTCACCATACAAAGATACTGCGTAACTATTGACTGTATTCCCCATGTTGTACCTTTTCATACCTGTGATTCATTTATTTTGTAACTGAAAGTTTATACCTCTTAATTTCCTTCACCTATTTTTCTTATCCCCCATCTCCCTCCCCTCTGGCAACAATGAGCAAGTTGGTTAAAATTGTTTAGTCTTCTATACTTACTGATTTTGTCTTTTTTTTTTTTTTAAATTAGTTACCCAGAAAGGGGTGTTAAACTTCCAACTATGGTGGTTCTGCCGAGTTTCCTTTCATGTATTTTGAAGTGCTGTTATTTTGGATTGTTGTGACTTTTTAACAGATTACTTCTTTTATGATTATGAAATGTGCCTTTTTTCCTCTGGAAATCCTTGTATTGCAATCTACTTTAAGAGTAGCCTCCTGGTTGGTGCTTTCTGCTGGGGTGTGTTTGTTCCCCCAAGTCTCGCCTTGTGCATTCACATTTTAAGAGTTAGCCAAAGATGTGGGAGGAATTTACATGGGGATTTTGGGGCTTTGTCCTCAGGATTCCTTTCTGGAATTTTTCTTCCTCATTGTCTGCCATGTTGGCCACTTTAATCTCAAATCTCTGCCTCCTCTGTCTGGTAAAACTGCTTCTTTCTGCTTGAGCTCCATCCCCTGCTCCTTATGCTGATTTGGAAGTACTCCCGTGTTAAAAAAAAATGTGACTTTCAGATGTACTTTCCTTCTTTCAAAGATTGTGTTCATTCCTGTTTCTTTGCTTTTGGTTGATCTCCAGTGTTTTTAAATAGTTGGTTTTTTATATTGTTCATAGGATTAGTCTGATACAAGGTACTCTGCCATATCCAGCACTAGAACACCTCTAAATTCTTTTAATTTAGATTGACCCCCACCTTTCTATCTCATTACCTTGACTTTTTGGAGAGTCCTGGCCAGTCTTCTTTTAAAATTCCTATAGTCGGGATATTTGATTGTTTCCTTGTGATGGTGTTTAACTTGTTTCTCTATCCTTATATTTCCTATAAATTGGAATTTAAATCAAGGGACTTGATTAGATTCAGGTTAGACATTTTCTTGCTTCATAGATGATGTCTGTACTGTTTGTTGCATTATATCAGCAGGAATATAATACTTGATCCAGTATGGGTGGTGATTAATTTGATCACTCAGTTAAGGTGGTGCTCTCCTTTTTAAAGATTTATTTTTCACCTTATAATTAGTAATTTCTGGGGTGGTAATTTCCACTCTTCATTTGTCACATCCTACTCAAATGTCATCCTCTTAGTTTATTATAATCAGGTGCCAGTATAGAGTGATACTTAACAGTCATTAGATGTTCTTATTGTTTAAGACCCATTCCGCAACCAGAAGTCCTTACAGTTTCTAGTTTATATATACTCTAAGCTATATCATACTTTAATCGTACATATCTCATACTGTGTGGTGGTTACATAAATATTTTTCTCTTTTACTAGATTTTGTGGTTCTGAATGCAGATGTCACATCTTAGAAATCTTTGTGTTTCCCATAACACTTAACTAGCATTTTGCATATGGTAGGCACTCAGTAAATTATTTTTTATAGAAAGAGAAGATTAGCTTAGAAATCTCAAGCCTTTTTCTATTTGAAGATTTTTCAATCTCTTTCTTAGGTACTGGTTAAATTTAATGTTAATTACATTTTTATTTTTTGTAGGTAAATGAAAAAGCAGGACAGATTATACAGTATGATAAATTTTATATACATGAAGTACAAGAAATAATAGACATAAGGAATGATTATATCAACTGGGTACAACAGCAGGCCTATGGAATGGTATGTTTCCTATTACATTTTATGATTTCACTTCTATGTATCATTTGTTCTAATACAGAAGAAGCAATTGCTAATTTTTGAAATAACCACAGTTTTTCAAAGCTTTTATTCAGAGCTTATTGTTGAGGTAAAAACACATTGCAAAGAGTAGCTATGTATTATGCAGTATTTAAAAGTAAACATTCTACTTTTATACTAGAGCCAAATCAAAGAGATAGGTTATACTTTTCTATAGGAAAATGCAAATGTGACTTAGATTTTTAAATCTCATTTATTTTCCACAAGGTTGCTTCTTAATTCTCTGATGTTGAGAATGTTGGAGTCTTGGATACTGGAACTCTAAGAATATATTACAGTTGTGAGATCAGTGCCTCAGAACTGCCAGAAGAGAGCCCTAGAATCATTGATTCTGTTTTTTATTTCTCTCTCTTTTATGTGTTTAGTTTGATTTCAGTTTTTTAACTTACATCCACAAGTGAGCATACATCTTTCCATGTAGCTAAGTCTCTAATAACTAGATACTTAATACCCCATTAAAATAGTAGCGTAGTCTTATAAAACTTTAGTCACAGAAAATTTAAATATAGAAATGGGTAAGCAGCTAGATATAAATAGTCAGGTTTAATAATCTTATTTGCTAACCATTGTAATACACTTAAGGCCAACCTTTTCACCTCTGAAGCAGGTAATTTAAACAATATGCATGTAGCAGTTCTAAAAGGATAAGTAGCCTTCATTGCTTGTTAGGTACCAGCTGCAAGCTCCTTGTGAACAGGTGCTCTGTCGGCTCATTTACTGGCACTTCTAACAGTATCTCAAATATGTCTAGTAGGCACTTAGGACAGTAGTTTTTGAATGGCAGTGTGATTAATGAATGCTGTTTTTAGGATACTCTTACTTATAGGAATCAGGTCACTTCAGGAATATCTTTGCTTCCCTGGGTACTTAAGTCTGGATTGGAAGAGACTTGATTTTTTTTTTAATTCGCCAGAATCACTGGAAGGCTCAGTCAAGTTTACAGCCACCCTACAGATTTATGTCTACTTATTTGCTCATTCAGCGAATACTTATTGAGAATCTCCTGTGTAACAGGCACTTATTTAGGTATTAGAAATAAAGTGATCAATGAGACAAATAAGGCCCTATTCTTATGAAACTAATAATCCAGTGGGCAAGATACATAGTAAAAACTAAAGCAAAAAATATTAGCTAATAATATGCACTGTATAGAAAATTAAAATGGGAGAAGGCAATAAAGACTGGATGATTTCTTGCAATTGGATAATCAGAAAAGTCTTGTCTGAGGAATTTCGAGCTGTAATCTAAAAGACAAGAAGCAGCCATGTAAGATCAGAGCAGAGGAAATGTCAGGAAAAATGAACATCTGGTAAAAGACCTTAGGTGATCAGTTTGACGTATTTGAAGGTTAGGAGACCTGTATGGCCAAAATGTGGGAATGGGTAAAGTTCTGGGAAAGGATCACTGAAATGGGTACTAGATCTTGAACAGTTTAGTAAATTAGGATTGGGAACTTGGGTTTTATCTGAAGTGTTGTGATAAGCCATTGGGGGGTGGTAAGCAGGGGTGGAGGGGAATACAATGTAATTTATATTATAAGATAATCATTCTGTCAGCTGTGTGGAGAGTGGAGTGAGGGGAATGGAGCAAAAATTGAAAGGGAGGCTAGTTAGAAGGCAGTTTTAGTAGATTAAGGGAGAGAAAACGGTGGGTTTGTTTAGGATGGTAGTTGTATAGATGGAAGATGGGAAATGGACTTGGAGGTAGAAGGGACAAGAATTGCTGATGAATGAGATGAGGAAAGGAGAGAAATCAACAAAGGAGTTTAAGGAGGAGTTGCAGGTGATATAGGAGGAAACTAGGAGAGAGTTGTGGGAACCAAAATTAAAAAGTGAAGGAGAGACTGTATTGAATGCTGCTGAGAAATAGAATAAAACCATAGAACTGAGTAAAGAATTTGGTTACAGGAAGGTCATTGGTAACCTTGATAATGCCTGCCAGGGTAAGTTATACTTAAGAGAAACTTGCAGGGGAAGGGTATAGCTTAAGTGGTAGAGCACATGCTTAGCATGCACAAGGTCCTGGGTTCAATTCCCAGTACTTCCTCTAAAAATAAATAAATAAATAGACCTGATTCCCCCCCCCCAAACAACAACAGCAAAAACAAACAATAAAATTTCATCTTTAAAAAAAAAAAGGGAAACTTGGGAGTGAGGAATAGGGAACAACAACCATAGGCAGTACTTTAAAGAGGTTCTGCACTGAACTACTGGAGTCAAGGGGCAATAATCATTTTTTAAGAGAGAAAATACTTGACCTCAGGAAAGTTGTGAATAAATGTTTCTTTTTTCCTTCCGTATTTAAACTAAATCTCTCATCTAGACAAAACTTTTCAAACTCTCCCTCCAAAGCACCCCTGAGAGCAGGAGAAAACATGCATTTCTTGAGGTTATTAACTTTCCCTTGGCAAGACTTGTTTGAAGTCTCATATTTTATCTTAAAGTGATTGCAAATTTTTGACATAATAAATATTTACTGCAATGTAAAAGGGATTAAAATTATTTACCATAAAGGAAAATTGATGATTCAGAAAATGAACTTTTTTAATCTTTAGACTTTGCATGTAAACTCTGATACACCACCTAGGTACCCGAGGTCTTTGAGCAATGTTTTTGAGACTGCAGTGATACATGGACCCCTTTTAAAGTAAAACCATTCCTTTAAGAAGCTTACCCTATTTATGATTGTCTAAACACTATTTATGATTGTCTAAACACTATTTATGATTGTCTAAACACTAAACAGTTCTAAACTCTTGGTGCATAGCTTTTAAAAGAACTCTTAAAAATGTAACAAATTTATAAATTAATTATAAATTACACAGCAAGTTTAAAAATCAAGTTAATATTTAGTATGGAGGATCATTATGTTCTCTTGATCAGGAATCTCAGCTCAAAATGTAGATACGGAGTGTAACATAAGAGCGCCTATGTTCAAATCTCACCTCAATATGTTTTTTCAGTTACTTTTTGTTGTTAAATATGATTCCCTGTGCTATACAGTTAATCCTCATTGTTTATCTGTTTTGTTTAGTAGTTTGTAACTGTTAATCCCCTACTCCTAATTTGTCCCTTCTCCCTCCCTCCCCTTTAGTAACTGAAAGTTTGTTTTCTGTGTGAGTCTTTTCCTGTTTTTGTATATAGACTCATTTGTATTACTTTTTAGATTCCACGTATAAGTGATATATAGTATTTGTCTTTATGACTTATTTCATTAAGCATAATATTCTAGGTCCATCCATGTTGCTACAAATGTCAGTATTTTATTTTTCAGTGGCTCTCACTTCAGTATTTATTCACTCTATGTTCTTGTGGTAATTACTTAATTCCTTTCTGTAAATTGGGGATAATAATACATACCTTTTATAGTTAGTGCAAAGATTAATTGATATGGTCCATATAAAGTACTTAAGGTAGTTTCTGATGCATAGTTAAGTCTTGGTAAAATGATGGTTATTACTGGCTACCTTGACACAAGCTTTAAGTTTGACAGTAGCCTCTGTTCTGAGGTGTCTTATAACTCTATTCTCTTGCTACCTTTTTCTATTTGAACCACAGTGAAACTTTGCTTTTAGGATGAGGTGTGATACTCATTTGACCTTCACTCATCAAGCACATCATTTATTTATGAAGTTGTAGACATGAAGGTCCTTTTTAGTGCCAGTTTGATTATAATCACAGCCATTGAAACTCTTGGAGTTTCATGGTACTACTGAGATTTTAAATGGATTATTCTAAGTTTAGATTTTTCATCAGTTTTTTAAGAAATTATTGATATAAAAACACTAAAATTAGGGGGGAGGGTATAACTCAGTGGTAGAGCACATGTTTAGCATGCACAAGGTTCTGGGTTCAATACCCAGTACCTCTGTTAAATAAAAATAAATAAACAAATAAACAAACCTAATTACCCCCCCCAAAAACCCCGAAAACAAATGAAAAAACCACTAAAATTGAAAATTCTCCCAGAGCACTCACAGACCCCTAGGAATATATCCCCCCTGGGATCTGCAAGCCCAGTTTGATAAACATTATCCTGGAGAGTCATATCCTCTTGGATCACTGTGAATTAGATCTGATGTCCTTTGACACCTGAATTTTTACCTAGTATGTGGGTCATAAACTAATTGTGTTCTTAACAAGTTAAAAGAAATGTCAGTTTAATAGGATTTTTTGGTTAGCAATAATCTCGTGCTGTGCAGAAAAGCTATGGTTTGAATGTCTGCTTTTAAGTTTGTCAGGCTTGTATCCAGATTTCTCTTGGCATATAACTATGATAATATCAAATTGAATTTCCTTAGAAGCTGTTTCAGTGTGCTGTTTTCTGGTAAGAGGGAGCCAGTAGAGGACTACCTTATTATTTCTAGGCTTTTCCAATTTGCCCTCTAGATGTACTTGAGAATTGCCCTCTTTTACTCTACTCTGTCAACTACATGCTTTTCCTTTCTCTCCATTTATAGACAGACTGATACTGAAGAGGTGGTTGTGGTAGTGGAAGATTATTCTTTATGTATGTGTGTTTATACACACATAAATATGTATAGCATTATTTAACAAGAGTTATGATCTTAAATAATTCCATTGCTTCAGTATGGAAGTTTAAAATATTCCTTGATAGAACATAATTACTATAAGAAATATGTCTATAAATTTTACTTACATAATACACACATATTATATGTGGAAAGCTTTACCTTGTTCTAAACACTGCAAGGAAATTATTTCACCTTTGTTAGCTTTCTCTTTATGCTATAATATGTTGAGATTTTTTTTCTCCATTTCCTTTCTTTCCCAGTCAAGGATTTTAATCTATCAGGTAAATACACCTTAAACTTAAACAGTGCTGAGGGGAGGGTATAGCTCAAGTGGTAGAGCACATGCTTAGTATGCACGAGGTCCTGGTTCAATCCCCAGTACCTCCTCTTAAAAAAAAAAATAAATAAACCTAATTACCCCCCCCTCAAAAAAACTCCCAAACTTAAACAGTGCTGTATGTCAGTTATATCTCAATAAAAGTGGAAGAAAACAAAACAAAACAAAAGAACCCATCAGGTGTAGACTTCCTAAACATTAAAAACTAATTCTGTGAAATTGTTTGCATTCCTTATAATATCCTTTTGTATTGAGACTTCTAACTTTTCACCTCATTCTCTTCCATTTTCCCATCCTCTTTTACCTGTTTGCCTTCACATTTTCCATGAAGTGTTTGCTTAATCCTCCTACTCCTGCTGGTTACTATATAAGCCTCTCTGTTTTGTTTATTTTTTCCAGACTCTGGACTTAGTATATGAAGCTGTTTTTTTCAGTTGTATTCCTTTTGCTTTTTATCTGTTTTTCAGTAATCTCTTGGCAAAATGAAAGGACATGTGAGCTCTCTCTCTCTTCTTATCTTCTGCTTTTTGATGTTTTTCTCCACTTTCTAGATACTATTTCCAGTTGTATTTTTGCTTACTTCTTTTAACTTTGCTCTTAAATTGTTTATAAAAATACTGTAGTGGTTACTACTAAACTCTTAGCTCTTTTTTCTCCCCTTTCTTATACTTTTAGTTACTATACATACATACTAGTATATATCTCGTAAAAAAGAACAAACTTGGAATAAAGAATAGAGAGGTCTGTGCCTGTTTGAATCATAAGAGTCAAGTTAAGCATTTTTTTAAGTGCATATTCATTTATTTTAAGAACTGTATATACCTGTGTGAGACATGTCAGATACAAGTAAGTACTACTGAATGTATTTGGTAAATTGGTGAGATTTTATAGTCTTTGATATTAAATTTTCTGTATTTTTAAGTCATAAATTTTATTTCAACATTAATTGTGCTGGGTTTATAAATCATTATTGTATGTGTTCTGTGGAGTTAAGGTTTTATACTTTAACTATGGATAGTGCTGAGCTAGCAACATGACATACTCACCAGCATGCTAGGAAGATAGATGGATGTAACAGCTGGGGAGACCAGCTTTGGGAAGACAGGCCAGTACTTAACTCCCTGAGTTAAGTTTGAGTTTCTTCCTCATTTAATGAAATGAAGAAATTAAAGTATATTTGTATACTTTAATATTTGCAGTATAAACCTTGCAGCTATAGTACTTCCCAGAAGGTTCATACTTTTTAAAGCTCCCTTGTCATTTTTAATGGCAGTAATATTTTTGCAGACTCTTGGACTGATTCCTTATGCATTGAAGAACCAAATTATATTTGTTTATTTTTCATTTCCTTCATGTCTTAGAAATATCTTTTTACTTCTGTCTAGTTGCCAACACCTTTCATACCTCTTTGAATTACTTCAGTAACTTCGATATCCTCTCTTTATATCTTCTTAGAATAATCCTGTGTTATACCTTGAAATGATGATGACACCAGCAATGTTATAGTGTTTTGCTGTAGGTAATTTATTGAAACTAAATCATGCCAAGGAGTTACATCTTTTTTGTCTATAACTAGAACTATCATTAACCATTTACGTTAAAAGCAGCATTACTGAATTCTGCTTTAGACCATGAGACCCTGACTTGAACATTTCCTTCAGGCCTTTCTCACTCAAACTTCTAGGATGTTGAGTAACTAAAATTAGGCATGCCTTGACCTAATTTCAGAGCCCCCAGTCTACAAACAGCCAACAGTTAGTGCTTGAGTATGTGGATTTGGAGCCAGTAATAAGTCGCACATTGAATGATAATGGTAACTTTTTGCACTAGACCTTTAATTGACACTTCACATGTTTTGTAATATCCTGTCCCTATCCTTACCATTTTGTTTTCCTTTTAAATTTCTCTTGGAAATACTACTTCGGCTTAATTAGATTTGCAACTAATACAACAACTGTCTTACAACTCTTAATATTTCCTGGAAGAATTCAGTCTTGCTTTTTTATGTACTTACTTATTTTTTTTTAATGTTTGAGCTTTTGTCTTAGATCCTTAACTCTTAAACTGAAATTTCTGTTAATGTTTTAATCTGGCTTTCCCTTTGATGCCTCTCTTCTGCATAAATCATTTTGCTTGGAATCTAATAGTCTCTCCTCTTTTCTCAAGTTTTCCACACATCCCATTATTTTTCATATTCTTTCTAGCTCACATCTGTCTACAGTCAAACTTACATTCTGCTTTAATATGGTTTAGTTACATTATAGATTCTGAGAATCTTATTGACTTCCCAGTGCATAATGATATGCTTAGCACTTTTATTTATTTACATGTAGCAATAAAAATAGTGCATATATATTAATGTTTCATTATTAAGAATGAAATCCATCTCCCCTGATAACCAGGTATACTTGGTATCAAGTTTAGTTATCAGGCTGGCCATAGGTAGTCAGAAAATACTGAAAGGTGTTTCTTTGCTTATTCAAACTTTTAGTAATCATAGCACTTTAAAAATGTTTCACAATATATACTGTAAAAAGGATTCCACATGTTCCTGTTAAGTTGCTTTAAATTAAACTAAATGTAATCTAAAAGGCTTTTTCTGCAGAATCACTTTTAAATACATTCTTCTGTTAACATTGCCAATAGGGGCACCTATGTAGTAAGAACTTGGTACTCTGAACATTTTGAAAGAAACTATTATCAATAATTATCTTTCTCAGAATAGGAAGTTAGCTCTAACAGTCATATTTTCCTTATACTTACACTGCTTTGGGTTTATTTAGCACAATAGTGAGCGAACCCTAATTGTTTGGTAATGTCTTAAAGCTTCTAGTGAATACCCCTTGAGGCATGCAAGAATTTAGCCAACTATGAAGTTAGAGGGAACAGTGCACACAAGACTGCCTTCACTTCTGATACCAATTGAGAGATTCCCCAAACCACTCTTGAGTTCAGTAATTTGCTACAAGACCTCATAGAACTAACTGAAAATCACTATTATACAGTTCATTACAGGGGAAGAGTACAGATTAAAATTAGCCTAGGGAGAAAGTTCACAGGATAGAATCTGGGAAAGGTACCAAAGGCAGAGCTTCTATTTTCCTCTCCCTGTGGATTTATGGACAAGTTACTTTCCCAGCATCCATGTGTGACAGTATTCACAGAGTATTGCCAACCAAGGAAGCTCACCAGAGCCTTGGAGCCCAGAGGTTTTATTGATGCTGCATCACGTTCTGTCCATGTGGCTGACTTTTACTCTCTAGCCCTTCTGGAGGCAGAACTGATAACCACATGGCCAGAGCCCATGGCAAACAAAGACACTCTTGTTAAGGCGTGACACTCCAAAGACCTGTAGATCATCTCCCAGTAGCTGAGGGCAAAACCAGACCTTTCTTTGGGTAAGATTAATTCCTCATTATACAAGGTACCAGCTGCAAACCTAGTAATATTGTTTTGGAGATTCTAGCACTTTATATGAGTCTATTCCCTGAGCATATGTGGAAGCTTTCTGCAAAAGGTATACATTTCTGTTCAGTGGAGTGGTAAGCTTTCATTATAATTGCCATTATTATTTCCTTTATAAATATCTCTTTCTCCCTTCAGTTCTTCTTTCTGCTTACCCAACCACTATGCCCTGTTCTGTACTTTCTATTTTAAGCTAATTTAATGTTAAATAACCCTTAGTATAAGATACCTATGTTTCTCTTTTTTTCTGATGAATAAAAACAACTTACGGCTTATTTTCCTCACTTTGTTTTTATACATCATTTTAATCTACTAAATACTTTTCAAACATTTTGTCAAGATTAACCAAGTCTTAAAGTCTGAGGAATATTTTCTCCATTTTCCAGCTGGAGAAACAGGGCCATAAAATCATTTCTTCAAGACCAAATTAGGTTTAGGATTAGTTTCCCTATTCTACCTAAATTTTGCAAATGGGGCACTCAGTTGCTAAAAACAAATTTTATTATGTTCAAGCCTTGATGATTTTGTGATTACAGGGTACCTGAAACAAAGGACTTATTACATTTATATATATATATATATATATAAAATATGATAAATACGTATTTATTAGTAAATATATATAGGTACATGTGGAAAGGGTAAGTTTTGTTGTAGATGTATTTTGGTCTACGTCATTAATTTAGTATTCTGCTGTAGCAAAATATATGAAATGCTACTTTGAATAGAAATAGTAAATTTGGACACTAACATTGCTCTTTCCTCATTACTGTCACATTCTGCACTGCTGTCTTAGGATGTCAACCATGGATTAACTGAGGTAAGTTTGGTGTAATAAAGTCTCATGTTCAGAGTAAGATATAGTCTGTTTTGTCCTAAGTGATTTCAAAGCCCCAGGTTTCTCTTTTTTGTGACTTTACAAACATAAACATTTTTAAAATGAATGTATAGAATGTGTTCTGTATAACCTTCCAGGGAAATTTTTCAGAAATTAAATCTCTGTTTTAGTTGACAGCACACCTATATGATGCCTTTCAATGATACTTGCTTTAAAATAGTTCCTTTCCTCCTAATGTCTTCCAGTATAAAATTTATCTGTCCTCAGAATATTAGAAAGCAAACTTCTAAAATTTAACAAATGTCTACACCAAAGACAGAAGATAATTTATATTAGAGAAGTAAAATGACCTTTAGCTTTTAAACCAAAATTGGTACTCAAAATGCTCACAAAATTGAGTAAACTTTCAGTATGATCATCTTCCTCTCTTTGTTTAATGTGCTGTTAGTAAAGTTCTAGCACTTTGGCTTACGTAGTCAGCAATTCTGAACCACCTTTTTAATACTTGAGAATGTTAAAATACTTATTTTATACTTCTCTTATAGACTTTAGGTTTTCTTGTTTACTTTGCTTTTTCCCCAGCACTTAAACTTGAAATGAAACATTTAGAATTAGCTTTAAGTTATAGGCCTAACATTGTTTGCTTCCTCATCTTCAAGTAGAAGTCGCACATAAAATTATGAAATCAAAGAGTTTTGGAGCTGAAGGGAACTTAAGAAATCATCTCAAGTCTTTTCGAGTTTCAAAGTAGTAAAATGACTTTCTACCATCAATAACTAGTTAATGACATAGATGCAAGGTGGAGGATAAAAACTGTCAACATGAAAAGTAGCCAAGAATGGTAACTTACTAAAGGGAATATAACTCAGCATGTTATCTTATATGTTGAGAACAAAGAGTTACTAGTCTTGTATTCTGTACTGATTAGGCACTATTGAATTCATTTTGGGGGGCCATAGTTAAAAAGTGACTTAGACAAATTGAAGTACATTTAAAAGAAGGTGGTTGGGATGGAAACCATATTATTGCAGCTGGAAAAATTGGAAATGGTTAGTGTGGAAAAAAGACAACCTAACGGGAGCATGGGGGCATGAAATATTAAAACCATATATACTTCCTTGCAGGGACAAAATGAAGACTGAAATACAAAACAAAGTGATGTATAGAAAAGCATATTCAGACTTAATGTAAAGAATTTTCTAAGAAAAAGAAGTGGGTTGTTTCATGGTGTATTAAGTCTTCACTGGAAGCCTTCTAGCAGGGGCTCTGTATCAGGGCTGGCCCCAGAATTTTGCCTTGTTGGGTAGATGGTAGGAATACATCCTCCAACTGCAAGAGCCTCTGACTGGCAATTCATAACTCTTAGTATTTTGCTGCACTATTGAAATACTTAGAAGTCAATCACTGCATTAACTGATAGGATAAATAATTGTCTATAAGGTAACTAATGTCGGATAATGATAATAATAGATGAGTTCTGTCAACTTTAAAGGGTGTACTAATGGTGCTTATTTTGTATGTTAAATGAATGAGCAGATTGTTTCACTCATGATATTGATGGCACCCTAATGGCATGTGGTAAATATTTGTTAAATGAATGAATAAGCAGATTGCTTATCATTGGCCTCGGTTGCTAGAATAGCTGTAAAATATAAGAACTGGATACTTTATTTAACAAATAGGCCCCCAACCTTAGAAAAAAAATTGCAATTTAATTCACTGAAACTTGGAGGTGTAATACATGTTGAGCAAAAGATACCTGTAATGTACAATTTAATGTATTTTCAAGTATACAGTTCTCAACTAAAATTTGAAATTAGGGTTATTCCAAATCCTCATTTGATTATCAGTAAAAATTCTGTATTCAGAAATAAGCAACATGTTTTATTTATAATTCCTGAAAGATACAAAAGAATAAACCAAGAATGTGGTCAACAATGACAGTACATACAAGAAATATATCACAAACCAATTTGTACTAATAAGCTAATTTTTTATTTCTAGTTGGCAGATATCCCTCTTACAATCTGCACATATCCATTTGTATTTGACGCCCAAGCAAAAACTACTCTGTTACAAACAGATGCAGTCTTACAGATGCAGGTAAAATATTGAATAATAGTAATTTAATTTGAGAGCAGTTTTTGAATTTTTTCTGTGATTTTTTTAAAAAGTAGATTTACAGTTTTGTGTTAGTTTCAGGTATACAGCAAAGTGATTCCAATATATTTATATTTAAGATTATTTTCCATTATGGGCTATCACCAGATATTGAATATAGTTCCCTATGTTGTGCAGTAAATCTTTGTTGCTTATCTATTTTATATGTAGTAGTGTGTATCTGTTAATCCCAAATTCCTAATTTATTGCTCCCTCTTCCCTTTCCCCTTTGGTAACCATAAGTTTGTTCTCTATGTTATGAGTCTGTTTCTGTTTTGTACATAAATTCATTTGTATTATTTTTTACTTTTCACATATATGTGATACCATGTAATATTTGTCATTCTCTGTCTGATTTAACTTCACTTAGTATGATATTCTTCAGGTCCATCATATTGCTGCAAATGCCATGTTTCTTTTTTATGACTGAGTAATAGTCCATGTGTGTGTGTATGTGTGTATGCATGCCACATCTTATAGATTCCTCTATTGATGGACATTTAGTTTGCTTCCATGTCTTGGCTGTTGTAAATAGTGCTGCTATGAACTTTGGGGTTACATGTATCTGTGATGTTTTTTAACAATAAATATTCAAAGTGTCTTAGGGGACATTTTGTACCTTGTGATCTGTCTTTTACAAAGTACCTTTGGTACCTATAAAAAGGACTGTTGCATGTGAAATGTATATTCTTATGAGGGCTACTTATATGTATTTTAATGAAAATAGAATAATTTAACTTTTTATCATTTTGTATCTTAAAAAATGGTATAAGCCTCTTCCATTACAGAAATATATAGTCTTTACAAACAGTTTTACTAATTTACTTGATACAATGTTGATTTGTTCCAAATCTTGCTTTATTATATGTCCTCTATTTATATTCTTGGTAAAAGATGGAAGTGACTAGAGGAGAGGTGATGTTAAAGTAGGAGGCATTTGATCACTTGTTAGGAGGGTGTGAAATTTCCTTGGAGAAAGTTTTAGTAATAAATAAAGTATTTTCCTGAGGAGGATTGTCTTTTCCTCCTCCCTCTTCTTTCTCCCCCTACTCCTTCGACTTTATGTTGAGCATTCTTTGCTTTATAAAGTGAGGATTTTTAAAACTAGTTTACCTTGTGATTTTGAGGAACTACGGTATATTTCCTTTATCATTTGAACTGGTAAATTAAAAAGGTTTTAAGTTTCTCCTCTGATACAGACTGCTGAATCTGAGAACTCAGAAGGGATGAAACGAGATCTTGGGCACTTAATATTCTAAAAATGCTTTTAAAATGTATCTGCCCATCCTCCCCCAATTTGATGGCAATTTTCATTCCTTTAAAATAAATACGTTTGAGGGGAGGGTACAGCTCAATGGTAGAATGCATGCTTAGTATGCACAAGGTCCTGGATTCAGTCCCCAGTACCTCCATAAAACCAAAAAAATTCCATTTTAAAAAATATTTGCATTTAGTATTCTATATACCTCCATATATTTAAATAATAACTTCTAGGAGGAATTTTAAAGATGTGCTTATTTCCATTTTCAACAGAAGAAATAAATATTTTTGTAGGATTCTATATTAACAGCTAGATTGCTAGTTTTTTGGCAGTCTTTGTTAAAACAAGTTAATTTCTTGGTGCTTTTAATGTAGGATACTCCTTTTTAGACAAGAACACAGGGGAAATCATAGGAAAAGAACAGAAGTTTTAAATGGTAAAAGCCAAATGCTTGGTTTTTGAGCACATACAGTGATCACTCTACTAGATGAATTTCTGTAAACCTTTTAGCTGGTTGTTCCTTATTCGCTTTAAAGATTTGTTTTAATGCTATTTTTCTTTTTTTCCTCACACTCCATCCCTGTAGTTTTTTGAGAAACAGCAGTTTCAGGTTTATCAGTATTATTATAGTTTCATGTTAATTTAATGTTATCTTTAGTTACACATTACTATAAAAAATTTAAAAGGATAGTCTTTATGCTCGAATATAGTTAAGGTCTTATGCTGTGCTAAATACTATGTTAGGTGCTATGTGAATTCAGTAGTATAGGAATTCTAGGATAACCATAATTAATAGGTAGAGGTTAGCTTATCCAGTCACAGTAGCTTCTTTATAGCATTGCTATTAAATTTTTAATCTTTTGTTTTCTAGATGGCTATTGACCAGGCCCACAGACAGAATGTCTCCTCTCTTTTTCTCCCAGTGATTGAATCTGTGAATCCTTGCTTAATTCTAGTGGTCCGTAGAGAAAATATTGTAGGAGATGCAATGGAAGTACTTAGGAAGACAAAGAATATAGACTACAAAAAGCCACTCAAGGTAAATTGACATTTTCTATAATTGGGACTTTTATTCAGAAAATATGTTTAAAGTTTTCCTATTTATTTATTCATAATAACATGTTATAGGTCCCCAGAATATACCTTCATTTCTTTATGTTCAGTGTTTGTATTGTGCTGTTTTAGGTTATATTCGTTGGAGAAGATGCTGTTGATGCAGGAGGGGTACGCAAGGAATTTTTCTTGCTCATCATGAGGGAATTATTGGATCCTAAATATGGCATGTTTAGGTATTATGAAGATTCCAGGCTCATTTGGTTTTCCGATAAGGTAAAAAACTCCAACCATCTAAGTTACTTCTATATCTATACCTGTATATGTATACCTGTATGTTTCAACTTAGTAAATTTAAGTTATTACTGGATTCCTAACATATTTTATTCAAGATCTGCTTTATTATAGTTTTTAAAATTATAAACTTTTGGACTCAGAGTCATCAAAACACATTAATGCTTGCCACACATTCCAAGTTAGCAAAATAAGTTAAGGAATGGTCAGCCTGAAGACTATGTTGACTCTTCTGTCAATTTAGATTTGGCAGAGGGAGTAATTAGTTTATTAATTTATTTCTGTGGAGGTACTGGGGATTGAACCTAGGACCTCATGCATGCTAATAAGCATGTGTTCTACCACTGAGCTATACCCTCCCCTACCTGATTTAGATTTGAGGATTGAATAACGACTATCAGATTAACTTTTCTTCTGAGGAGAATTAATTTATCATTAGGGATCCTTGATTTCTCTACCTCATCATTTAGGGCAGAGGTAACTACTCAGCAAACTACAGTCCATGAGCTAAGTTCTTCCCAGCACATGTTTTTATAAATAAAGTCAATGCCGACTCATTTACCTGTTGTTCATTGCTGCTTTCTAGCTAAAACTGGCAGAGGCAGAATTAGATAGTTACAACAGAGCCTCAGTGGCCAACAAAACCTGAAATATTTACCATTTTTTCCTTTACAGAAAAAATTTGCTAGCCCTATTTCACTATAAGGGAAATGGATAGTTCAGCTGAAAGAAATCTGACTAAAATATTAACTATTAGTTCTAAAAACCTTGGTGTATATTATTTATTCTTTCAGGAGATTGGCTGTCCTTTATGATGTTAGCAGTCATGATAATCGGTGCCTAGGGTTGTTAATTTATTAGGAATTGCAAAATAGTACTAGTCTAATTCTAACATTTCTTTTCCATTTTATTAGCTTGGATACTTCTGTATAAAGAAATGTCCTTATACCTACTATTTGGTCCTTAATAGTACAGTTCATATGGGAAAGGAGTCTTCTTTAGTTGCTTGTTTTTCAGAAGGATGAATCTGTTTGTTAGCATACTCCAGTGGTGATGATTCATTTTTTAGTTTTAATGTTTTTTAGCCCATTGCAGTTATCTTTATTGATGTTACCTCATTTTTGTCCAGGGAGACCTCTTCAAATTGGCATCTGGGTCCTTTTGACACAACTTTAATATTCTTTGGTAGCTTCCTTGCTTGGTGTAATACTTGTAGTACTTGGTGTGATAAAATGTTCCAGATTTATACATTTACTGCCTAACAGTACCAGCCTTACAGCTAATATTATGATAACTGAAAATACAGTTGACCCTTGAACAACATACTTTGAACTGTGCAGGTCCACTTATATGCAGATTTTTTTCGATACACATGTACTGTGGTATTACATGATCCTTCGTTTTGTTGAATCCACAGATGCAGAACCACAAGACAGGGAGGGTGGACTATAAGAATATACTTGGATTTTCGACTTCCTGGGGGATCATCCGCACCACTAACCCCTGAGTTGTTTAAGGGTCAACTGTAGTTTTGGTTTTTTTGCAGTTTTTGTCCTTTGGGTATACTTCAGGAGAGATACACAGTCAAATAACCGTGTTTCAATATTACTCAAAATTGTTATACTCTGTATCATTATACTACCAAGTAGATACACATTTAGGTTAACTTGTTCAATTTTAGTTTTGATCTTTAGGGATTGCGTGTTTAAATGCAGTTTAGTTTTATATATAAAATAGTTACATAGTTCCAAAGTCAAAGCTACAAAATAAGATCTCTGAAAGAAATCTAGCTTTTATCTCTACCTCCTCCTCCTTATTTTCTCCCTCTTATAGGTATTCTTTTTTTAAAAAAAAATCTATTTATTTATTTTTAGTAGGGGGGTAATTAGGTCTATTTATTTATTTACTTTTGGAGGAGGTACTGGGGATTGAGCCCAGGACCTTGTGCATGCTAAGCATGCACTCTACTACTTGAGCTATACCCTCCTCCTAGGTATTCTTTTTAAAAGAAACGTTATGGTTATTAAAATACATATATACACACGCACACACGCGCACACACACACACACACACACATACACAGGTAGTAGTAAATTATATAGCAACATCAGTTTCCTGGTTTTAACTATGGTTATTCAAGCTGTTATCATTGGGGAAAATAAGTAAAGGGTGCAAGGGAACTCTGTACTATTTGTGCAATTTCTTGAGTCTTAAAGTATTTTAAAATGAGAAATATTTTTAAAAAGAAGTGGTATTCTATACATATTTTTTTCTCCATCAAGAAAGGGTATTTTATTTTACATGGGAAATAGAAGTATGTTTGCATGTTGTTGTGATTAGTTATGCAGAAAGCAGAAAATGAGCCATGCAGGAGAGGATATCAATTGCAGGAGCAGAGTTGTGAAGAAAGAGTGGAGATTAGTGTGCTAGTAGAGGATTGACTGTAGTTAGAAATGTAGATCCATAATGTCTTCAGAGAAAGCTAAGTATATATGTAAATACACATTTCTGATAGATTTGATAGTGGGAGGTTGTGAAAGTTCTCTTAGAATTATTTATAATTCATAGTGAATTAAGATATAATGTTGTTAGAAGGTTAGAATAAGGGAAAGATGTTGGAGGTTTGAAGAAAGTGAAATAATCACTTTGGGGAGTGGGAAAATAAGTTGACTATGTAAGTAAATATAGGGTTAGACTATCACTGTTGGAGGCCCATTTGAAACGTATGTTCATGAATTTAAAATGAGACCAATCAACTTTTGGTTGTTATTTTTTACTTTAGTCATGTTTAACTGCTTGGGCAGAGGTAAGAATGAGGCAGATACTTGATTTAACTAGATTATGGTTTTAGCAAGTGAGTATAAACAGAAGGGAAGAAAGGGCAAGGGAATGAATCATCATGGATTATGAAATTTAAGCTTTGTAAGAAGGAAAATGTGAGGACTTAGTTGGGAGGCAATAGACAGTTCAAAAAAAGAAGCTGTAAGTTTAATGGATTGTAGGTGCTGGTAGAGTTGAGTGAGTCAAGGTGGTAGGGGGAATCAGTTGCAAAATAGGAAATGAAGGTCAAGTAGGGAATGTTTAAGATTTGGAGGGTTGCAGTTAATATAAAATATAACCATGGGAATGGGTGTTTGAGATGTGATGGAGGACAAGATTGTTGGAAATAAGCAGATCAAGGACTGAGAGGCTAGTGTGTTGGATGCCGTTTTTGCCTGAATATTGAAATCATCAAAAACATTGGCAAGAATAGTCGTAGGGAAAGAAAGCATAAGATAGTGCCCAAATATGTGAATGACGGCATTGTGAAATGTCTTTAGATGTCAGCACAAGGAACAGTACTAGGGAAAATGGTCAGTTGGCATGTGTCTCACAGGAGCTGGGGATTTAGAATGGCAAATAGAAGGAGGTCCAGTACGAGTGAAGAGCCAGGAGACCTACCTCTAGACCCAGTTGTATGAGGGGTTAGAAAAGAAAACAGACACCATTTATGAGCTGCAGGGGAAATAGCATCCTTAGGAGACAGTCTTGTTCATTTAGGAAAGAAGAAAGAAAAATTTGGAGTGGTTTAGGATATAGGCAATTTTCCAAAAGGTAGATTGTGAGTTCCAGAGCAAACATGGAAAGGATTTCGCGAAACAAGGACAGTTCTAAGATTGTGTCAAATTTTAGGGCCTGTACAGTGCCACATGGAGGTGGGATTAGGGATAACCTGTGAGTTTCTAGGCTTCCTTTGTTGACAGGCATGTAAGGGATGGTTGAATAGTCCTGATGACCTCTGAAGTAGATGGACAATCTGCTCATATTATGGTCTCTTCCTTGGCGCTTATCTCTCAGGACAGTTTATAGTGGTGTAGCAGAAAGAATTTGAAAGGGTACATTGGGTGGAGGCCTGTCTTGCTAGGAACACAGAGGTACATAGACCTTTATTCTGTTCTGCAGAGAGGTAATGTTTTGAGACCAGGGGAGGGGCAGTTTACAAGCTTTATCGTGAATCTCTGTTAAACTTTTTCAGTTTTATCTTGAGCTGGCTCCTCTTTTGTTTACTTTTGACATGTTCCCATTATTCTTAAATTATTCCTTACATTTGGTACAGAAAATATTCCAGTCTCCTTTTTTATTTTCTCTACCCAGGTCCTGACATTAGCCATTTTTCCTAAGCGCCCTATTTTTATGCCAGTACCGCACTGTCTTATTTACTATATCTTTGTAGTAGATTTATGAAATTGGAATGTGTGACTCCTCCCGCTTTGTTCTTATTGTGCAAGATTGTTTTGACTAATAGGAGTCACTTGCAATTCTGTATGAATTTTATGATTGGCTTTTTCATTTCTGCAAAAAAAAGTCCATTGAGTTTTTGGTAGAGAATGCATTGAGTCTGTAGATCAGTTTAGGAAGTATTGCCATTTTAACAATATTGTCTTCCAGTCCATGACAATGGGATGTCTTTTCATTTATTTAGGTCTTTAATTTCTTTCAACAGAGTTTTGTAGTTTTTAGCATACAAATCTTGCATCTCCTTGGTTAAATTTATTTCTTAAGTATTTTGTTCTTTTTGATGCTATTGTAAATGGAATCATTTTCTTAATTTTATTTTCCATTAATTGCTACTGTGTGGAAATTAACTGATTTTTGTATGTTAATCTGGTGTCATGCAGCTTTGCGGAATTCATTTATTAGCTCTAATAGTTTGTTTTGTGAATTCTTCAGGATTTCAGGATATAAGATCATGTCATCTATAAATCAAATTGATTTAATTTTACTTTTTTCTTTCCGATTTGGGTACCTATATTTCTTTTTCTTGTCTGATTGCCCTGGATAGGACTTCCAGTACACTTTCAAATACATGTGAGAAGAGTAGACATGCTTCTCTTTTTCCTGATCTGAGTGGGATGTTAACTGTGGGTTTTTAATAAATTTCTTGAATCAAGTTAAGGTATTTACTTCTATGCCTAGTTTGTTGAATTTATTTATGGTTTAA